TGATATTAATATCGATCTATTTTTGTCAAATTTTTATGAAATTTTCAAATTTATATTTTATTCAAAAATAAAAACATCATCGCTTTTTCAAAATCACATAAGACCATATTATAACATCGACTGAGATAAAGAATGCATTGAAATATTAAAATCAAGATGTATATCATTGCATTGTGTGAGTACCCTTCTAGTATATTAAAAATAGAGAGCTTTTAAACTGTTAATTTGATACTATTATCGATATATTTTTTTAAAATTTTTATGAGGTCTTCAAATTTATATATTATTCAAATATAAAAATATTATCATTTTTTCAAAACCATACAAAACCATATTATAAAATCAATAGAGAAAAATAATAAAATGGAACACATAAAATTGAGAGAGAACTGATTAGTTTGTGATAACTGTGAGATCAAATCTCAATCACAAATCAATGCTTAAATTAGTAAACTAATAATGTTAGTAATTTGACTTAAAATTTTAACTAAAAGACATTTTAGGTATTTTAAAAATCTTATCTATCATCTCTCGTCTCTCCTATCCTCTCTCTCTCTCTCTCTCTCTGTTGAACTTTATTTTGGTGAACTTTTTTTCGTCAAACACATGATGCACATTGTGATACGCTTCATAGAATAACAAAAAAACATAGTGTGATACACTAAGCAACATTACCTGATATATTGTGTTACTATTCGTAAAACAACAAAAATACATTGTGATACACTTCGTATAACGACAAAAACACATTGTGATACACACTATGACACCAAATCTGGCTGATGAATATAACTGTGATACCACTATGTTACCACTGTATTAAATCCGACATTACGTCTTTTAAGAGACTTTGGTTACATCCAAAAACCTCACATTTTTTTGTGTTACATCTCTGACGATATATGGGTTACATCTCTAACAATATATGGATTACGTCTCGGGTTTGAAACGAGATATGAACAAAAACCAGAAGCTGAAACCTACTGGGTGTGAAGAAACCAGATATCTGGGGATATGAAAATTCCAATTTACGTTGTTCAACCGGGGGAAGTCAAAGCAGTGAAGGTGAGAGTTGAGAAGATGATGACTGGTTGTTGGAGATGGGCAGAGAGCCAGAGAATAAGAAACAACGGTGGCTGGTGGCTGGAGATGGGCGAAGAAGGAGGCGTCAGACGGTGTTGGGCAAAAAAGTCGGTGTAAAGTGTCGCACCAGAGAGGAAGCACGTTTTGATCAGTGATATGGAAAGAGGGTCATAGGTGTTGATATCGTCCAATTTAATATATATTTCAAAATTAAAATAGTAAACTAATTAAAATTAATTGAATACTCAACAAAATTTACTAATTTACCCTTCTACTTATTTCAAGAAATCATATTAATTATCAAATAATGATTAGTTCACGTTGGATCTCACGATTACCATATATATATATATATATATATGTGTATATATATAACGTTTTAAATATTCTATTTGTATAATAAATACAATCTTAAACAGTCTATTTTATTTTATTTTATCAGTTTTTCTAATTGAAAATCTGTAACTACCTTTTTCTCCTTAACAAATGTAAAAATGAAATATGTTGTAAAATAAATCACCTCGTAATTTCTTATGATTTTTTCCATCTAAAACTAGAATTTAGAATATTTATTAAATATATTGTTTCACATGTACTCAGATTACAATGTGAACATTTTTTACGTGTTTGTGAAACAAAAAATATACGTAAAAAAGTTTCACAATATGAAACGAATACATATAAAACAACACATTGTGAAACAAATATACATTAACCAATACATTAAATGCTATATTTAGACGGAAAAAAAATCATGTGAAACAAAACCTGAAGATAAAAGTTCTCATGGGTATCACAAATTTTAGAATTCTCAAATAAGTAAACCCATATATATATCTGTGTGTGTATGACGTTTCAAATGCAACTAATCACATTTGTACAAACAATGCAACTCACTCAATTGAGATATTTATGAAAATGATGAAAGTTCATTTATTATGATTTAAATATTTGTGGAAGATGATTATGACTTATTAATTATGATCAATACTTTATATTAGGAAACAATTAAAACTTTTATGAAATCGTATATTCATCAAATTAAATGGATGATTGAGATTGAGTTGTATTGGTTGAACAAATGTAAAGAGTTGCATAATAATTCACATCTATATGTGTGTGTATATATATAGGGGTGGGTTTATCTGGTCCCAAATTATATATATATATATATATATGGGTTTATCTGGTCCCAAATTTTATATATATATATATATATATATATATATATATGGGAGCATTCAAATAAAAATCACCCAATTTGTATAAACCGTGAAAACCACATTCAACCAATCATAATTTTTAATTTTGTTAATTTTTTTGTAATTATGAGAGGTTGATTAACCATTTTTATTGTGGAG